TTCACACTTTTTTTGTGATAATGGCACAGGCTTGACAAATCCTGACAGGAAAAGAGTTGCCTGCTTTTTTTTTTGGGAGAAGAAAAATGTTTACATAAGCGCATCATCCGTGACAATTGACTTATACATAGAAGGAACTGTTATTAAGATACAGTCAACTGTCAAAATCTTGCCGTGAAAGAAAAAATCACTGGTGATGACAATGATGGCTTCCTTTCCGTCTAATATAAACATACCAGCATGATCACTTTTCCCCCCAGGGCAAAGTCATTGTTCCATTTTGAAAGCTCTCTGTGAATGCTTGAAATGTTCCCTTGATATTTTTCCCTCTGCTCGTTTATTTGCTTGTATCCAGGTGATGTGCCAACCTGCCACATCAAGCACAGACGGCCTTATTTCCTCAGAGCAAAGGTCAAAACAATTGTCATGGGAAGAATGGGCGTGTGTGTGTAGTGTAGTAGAGAGTCTGTACTTAAAATGTCAAACTTAAACTACTAACTACCCAAGGAAACAGATACTTTAACAACATGGTCACTCAAACAAGCCATTGACAAAGGCTTTTACATCTGATCACAAAATGTTATGATAATACAACATTCTAAGCAGTCTAAATCACTAACTGTGGCTGCACAGAAAAGAATTTGATCCCTTTAATGGAGAATTTGTTTTGCCATATTTCTATATTAAACGAAATTCAGATGGTTTGTTTACGGAAATCACATCTGTCACATTGTGTCACACTCATGGTCACACTACATGACTGATGAAGCGTAATTTAAAGCAAAGTTGTCTTTCACTGCCACTTGGGGCCGCCAAAGTGCAAATTTGGCAGTGCAGCTTTACAAAGAATGGTTCTTTTTCAACACATATGCATGTCCCATTTTGGAGGACAAATCCTGCTTTCCAACTTCACTCTTTCTTAATAACCACACTTACCACCAGTTATAGTACTGACCACATGTCTTAACCACAGAATTATTATATAGTATTATCATGTGTTAACAACACCTGTTGTCCTGAAGTGCGTTTTTTCAAACTAGGCGCACAGATGTGATTAAAATCCCACATCCCTTTGGGTCGTGAGAAAAAAGAGGGCGGAAATGTGCATGCCTGCAGAGACATGACCTTACATTTCTTTCCACCAAAGATGAGTATGAAAATATTGTTCTCAATTAGATGTACTGCAGGTAAAACCTAGAAAGACAATTTGACAGATAATATATAATTTCACTGAACTTTTGCAGAACTTCTAATGTAGTAAAACACCTAACAAAAAGTTGGTGTTTGCACTAAAACAGATATATAACAACAAATAGACACATAAGGTGACATTACTTGAAGCCTAATAATTAGAGTAGGTTTATTTGCTACCCACCAAATCTTTTAGCTATCAAAACTGGAGTTGTAAAAATGCAGACGGAGGCATTGTGAGTGGAGTGATATAGTCAGTTTGACAGCAGTGTTAGCATTCCCTGAAGGCAGTTTAAAGAACAGTGTAGGATGAGGTTGCATAATCTGTGCCTCAGATTCATGGAAAAGAATGCCTGGGCTTTGAGAAAAATATACTGACACTTCCAAGTCATCTGGAGAGAAGCATGTGGAGCAACACTCTTGGCAACAACACAGGTGATCGTATCAAATGGAAATTTGTAGCTTAATTGATACTAGTTGCTACAAGCCATATTAACAAAGGAGGTGATGAAGTAGTGACAACACACATCTGAAATTTTATTTGAAATTGAGAGTTTGTTTCTTCAAGCCTATGTAAACAGATTTTTAAACTTTTAATAAATGACTAAGCCACAATTGGCTTTGAACTTTGAACTGAATACAGACTTAATGTGACATTTTCATGTTAAAAATAAAAATAAATTCATCCATTAATCGTTAACCACTTATCCTGGACAGGATCGCAGGGGGCTGGAGCCAATCCCAGCTGACATCGGGCAAAAGGCGGGGTACACCCTGGACACATCGGCACTCTATCGCAGGGCCACACATATAATGGTGGGAGGAAGCCAGAGCACCTGGAGAAAACCTACACGGACAACATGCAAGCTCCAGACAGAAAGGCTGGGGCAACTGTGGTTTGAACCCACAACCTTCTTGCTGTGAGGCAACAGTGCTAACCACTGCACCACCACGCCAACCAAAATAAATTCAAGGTCAGGCAATTTGTGATTCAGTCCTCAAATGAGCTTACAGGTAGGTTCCTGCGGAGTTTATGACCACTTGTAGTGCCATAGCCAACACATCCTCATTCCTAAATGTCTAAAAAAAGGTCATTTGCCAATGACTCCCAAAACAACATTCGGCTTATGGTACCAAAACTACTTTGTTAGGTTTAGGAGAAGATCATGGATTGGGTTAAATAAGTAGCCTACATTAGTTACGTAAGTGAAATTTTTGCAAATTTATTAAAAAAGAAAAACTGAAATATTACATGGTCATAAGTATCCAGACCCTTTGCTGTGACACTCATATTTAACTCACATGTTGTACATTTCTTCTGATCCTCCTTGAGATGGTTCTACTCCTTCATTGGAGTCCTGCTGTGTGTAATTAAACTGATTGGACCTGATTAGGAAAGGCACACACCTGTCTATATAAGACCTTACAGCTCACAGTGCATGTCAGAGCAAATGAGAATCATGAGGTCGAGCTCTGAGACAGAATTGTGGCAAGGCACAGATCTGGCCACGGTTACAAAACAATTTCTACAGCACTCAAGGTTCCTAAGAGCACAGTGGCCTCCATAATCATTACATGGAAGAAGTTTGGGACGACCAGAACTCTTCCTAGACCTGGCCGTCCAGCCAAACTGAGCAATCGTGGGAGAAGAGCCAAGGTGAGAGAGGTAAAGAAGAACCCAAAGATCACTGTGGCTGAGCTCCAGAGATGCAGTAGGGAGATGGAAGAAAGTTCCACAAAGTCAACTATCACTGTCGGGGCTTTATGGCAGAGTGGCCCGACGGAAGCCTCTCCTCAGTGCAAGACATATGAAAGCCTGCATAGAGTTTGCCAAAAAACACATGAAGGACATGATGGTCCCAGACTATGAGAAATAAGATTCAATGGTCTGATGAGACCAAGATTGAACTTTTTGGCGTTAATTCTAAGCAGCATGTGTGGAGAAAACTAGGCACTGCTCATCACCTGCCCGATACAATCCCAGCAGTGAAACATGGTGGTGGCAGCATCATGCTATGGGGGTGTTCTTCAGCTGCAGGGACAGAACGACTAGTTGCAATTGAAGGAAAGATGAATGCGGACAAGTACAGAGATATCCTGGAAGAAAACCTCATCCAGAGTGCTCAGGACCTCAGACAACAACAAGACAATGACCCTAAGCACACAGCTAAAATAACAAAGGAGTGGCTTCGGAACAACTCTGTGACCATTCTTGACTTGCCCAGCCAGAGTCTTGACCTAAACCCAATTGAGTATCTCCAGAGAGACCTGAAAATCCACCAACTTTCACCATCCAACCTGACGGAACTGGAGAGGATCCCCAAATCCAGGTGTGGAAAAACTTGTTGCATCATTCCCAAGAAGACTCATGGCTGTACAAGCTCAAAAGGGTGCTTCTACTCAATACTGAGCAAATGGTCTGAATACTTATGACCATGTGATATTTCAGTTTTTCTTTTTTAATACAATTTGCTAAAATTTCTACATTTCGGAGGGGGGGGTTCTGTCAAGATGGGGTGCTGAGTTTATATTAATGAGAAATAAAATTAACTTTTTTGATTTTTGGAAAATGGCTGCAATGAAACAGATTGAAAAATTTAAAGGGGTCTGAATACTGTACCACTGTATTTTTGGGGATGGTCTGATCTGGTTTTGTTGTTGTTAGCTATTCAGTTGTTCAACGGTTGATGGCTGTAACGTGCCAAGAAATGATGCAATGCGCCAACATAGGCAGTGAAAAAGAAGACAACAAACCAGCAAAATGGATATAAACAATGCAAGTAAAATTATTGTGAAAATCTGCTTTGCAAATGTTTTACAAGGAAGGAAATGCATGTTTAATAGATCTCAAAGAAAAACACAATGTGAATATAACTTTTATATGTTCATAAGAAAACTCCACAGGACACCTTTAATTTGAAATGGAATTTAAACTGTTGTACCTACAAGCTCAGAGTTTGAACATCATTACCGGAGTTCAACTAAAATGGGTTAAACTCTGGAAAGGATCTGATATCATCATATATAGGACCAAAACTTTCCTGGTAGGGATATATTTTTGGATGTCATCTGTTAAAAACCAGTATCTATTTATGGTATTGCTTTCATAAATTAAATGCCCTACAAAAATCAAGCACAAGAGACTGGAAAAAGAGGAAATGTAACCCGAGAGAAATGGGTGGTCAAAAACAGAGTGCAGGGTAGAAAGAAAACAAAACAAGCTTTAGTTTTGTGATGAAAAAAGTGAAGGACCAACACATTCCTAAATTTATGATTAACACAGTTTAAATTGCAGTTTAGCCATTTTTCTTTCAGTCCGTATTGTATTGTAATATATTGTAATTTGCTGCATTTTAAGTAGAATTCGCTCTAAGCTGGTTCTCATGTTTTATTTATATTTTGCATATTAGTCTAGCTAGATGTTTTTCAGATTAGCATCTAGAAACAGCCACTTGTAATACATGACATGCTGGTTCAGTGTTTGAAGAGCTATAAAAAGGTTTGAATGCGCAAGAACAGCCTGAGCCTATTAGATGTCATCTACTATACCTCCTCTCTCTAACGTCTATAACATTAAGAAGTGTTGTGAAAACAAATGTGTGTCTGTGAACATGTCTGTTTTGCAGTTGTTTGTGTTTTTAACTTCACATCCCTGGAGCTTTTATATTTTTTATTTTTTCAATTTAGATAAAAATCACATGCAAATTATGTTTTGCTTGTGCTAAAATGCCCTGACCAGTACAAATGATTCACTGTGGATAAAAGCTTTACACAACACACACACACACACACACACAGGCTACAGGCTTTTAATAAGGCAGGTGGCTGAACAAGCTGGTTTAATACTGCACAAACTGCACATCCTGTGCCTCACTCATACATTCTTCATAGAAGGGACAAACACAAACAAAACACACCTGTTCTCCTTAGAGCGCACACACAGAAGAGATCGTCCTCAGATGGAAGCGTCTATGACTGAAAACAAACTGTCATGACTTTCCTGTCCCATATCGTGTGACTGCTGGATTAGAGAAAAGGGCAATATTTCCCTAATGGCCTAATGTTGTGTTTGGCAGCCACACGTAGGGTACTGATACTGAAGTATCAGTTCACCCAAATTACAAAAGCAGCATACATCTCTTGATGACCTCTGTTGCTATCCAGCCATGCATTTTAATTCATGCAGGCTTTGAGATGCCAGTCTCAGATTTCTGAAATTCACATTAAACAAACATATTATTTTACCATTTCACTTTTTCTGACAAGTTTTTTTCTTCTTTTTTTTGTTCTTATTTCATTTTGTTCATTAATACAAATACGATTTATCACCTTTTTAGCCTGCTTCTACAAGGGACTTTACTTTTTACACAGGTTTTTTTTGTTGGCATTAGAGAAAATCTAATGGCAACAAAATGAGCATGCGTCAATGCTAGCATTTTATTTCTATTTACATATAAAGAAACTTGTAGACCTGACATTCTTATATATATATATATATATATGTATGTGTGTGCACACTTTGGGATTTTGATTTGTGTGTGTTTGTGCGTGTATTCATACCCCGAGGCTGGTTCAGTCAAACCCTGGACTGGAATTCAAGTCAACCACAAAGGGGGGATTTCCACGTGCCTCTCAGTCGTCTTGTTTGGAACATAAAATTGTGCGTCATCCCGTGGCAGCATCCGCCTCACTTCCTCGTGGCTACAGGGCAAAAACTGTTCAGCTGGCAGTGAAGTAATGCCTGACTCACACTTCAGGTAAAAGCTTAATCAATTTTATCATTATGAAGTATCGCTTTGAAGTTAACATCTGGACTTTAGTGCCACCCAGTGGTGACAACAAATATGGGTTGTTATTACAATTAAAGGAAAGGTTCACATTTTTTTCAAGTATGTCTTAAAACAACTCTCACATGCCCATATGGTCATTGAAAGTACTGCCAATTGCTTTAATTGTTCCTGCAGTCCATAGTGGTCAGAAAAACATTCTTCTCATAGCAATTTCAATGTAAGTGATGAGGGTCAAAAACCACTATCCTATGTCAGTGACAAAACTGAACTTAAGATTGTAAAGTTCAGCTAAAGCTAATATGAGGTTTCAGCAGTTTGAGTAAGTCAAATCAAAGTTAAGTCTTTTCTGTTAGCTAAAACGTCTTTGTTAATATGTGTTGGCTGAAGTTCAGCCAATCTGAGGAAACAAAAAAAGGGAATTTGGTACTAAAAACAGTGGAAGATACCTACTTGATTCATCTAACTCAGACTGTTGAAGCTTAATAGCTGTAAGTGAACTTTAAAAGTAATTTTTTCACAGAACAAGAACTAACATATAATTGGTTTAGAAAGTAATCTCTTCAGGAGGAACACTAACAGCGACCAATAATGCTTTCAAGGTACATTTTGTTTTTTTAGTGTTATTTTAAGAATAAATGTGAATCTATGCTTTTAGGAGGAAAAAAGACTATTTTGACAATGAGGAAAAAAGATCCAGCATCCAGATGCAAGTTAATAATGCAGTTACAATTATTAAATTGTATATAATTGGGATTTGGAAGCACCAATAGACACCACATCAAGGATTTTGCATTGAACTTGACAAAAAAGCTAACTTTGGCCAATATCTAAAGGCACTGTTACCCAAAATGCTTAACGGTTTTCTCAATTCTGTATTCATAGTCCTCATCAGCTTTTAAAGCTGGAAAGTTTAACCACCAGAAAGATGCAGTCTAACAGTTGACAAACTGCTTAACACCAGTGATCAACACAGAAAAACTAGGATACTCAAACTACACCCAAGTTGCAGATAAATCAAGCTACAAAGCCCACTCATACAGTGGGGAGAACAAGTATTTGATACACTGCTGATTTTGCAGGTTTTCCTACTTACAAAAGCATGTAGGGGTCTGTAATTTTTTAATCATAGGTACACTTCAACAGTGAGAGACGGAATCTAAAATAAAAATCCAGAAAATCACATTGTATGATTTTTAAATAATTAATTTGCATCTTATTACATGACATAAGTATTTGATACATAAGAAAAGCAGAACATAATATTTACAGAAACAGAAACCTTTGTTTGCAATTACAGAGATCATACGTTTCCTGTAGTTCTTGACCAGGTTTGCACACCCTGCAGCAGGGATTTTGGCCCAGTCCTCCATACAGACTTTCTCCAGATCCTTCAGGTTTCGGGGCTGTCGCTGGGCAATACGGACTTTCAGCTCCCTCCAAAGATTTTCTATTGGGTTCAGGTCTGGAGACTGGCTAGGCCACTCCAGGACCTTGAGAATGCTTCTTACGGAGCCACTCCTTAGTTGCCCTAGCTGTGTGTTTCGGGTCATTGTCATGCTGGAAGACCCAGCCACGCCCCATCTTCAATGCTCTTACTGAGGGAAGGAGGTTGTTGGCCAAGATCTCGCAATACATGGCCCCATCCATCCTCCCCTCAATACGGTGCAGTCGTCCCCCCCCCCCCCATAGAATGTTGTTTCCACCTCCGTGCTTCACGGTTGGGATGGTATTCTTGGGGTTGTACTCATCCTTCTTCTTCCTCCAAACATGGCGAGTGGAGTTTAGACCATAAAGCTCTATTTTTGTCTCATCAGACCACATGACCTTCTCCCATTCCTCCTCTGGATCATCCAGATGGTCATTGGCAAACTTCAGACAGGCCTGGACATGTGCTGGCTTAAGCAGGGGTACCTTGCGTACGCTGCAGGATTTCAATCCATGACGGCGTAGTGTGTTACAAATGGTTCTCTTTGAGACTGTGGTCCCAGCTCTCTTCAGGTCATTGACCAGGTCCTGCCGTGTAGTTCTGGGCTGATCCCTCACCTTCCTCATGATCAGTGATGCCCCACGAGGTGAGATCTTGCACCGACCGAGGGAGATTGACCGTCATGTTGAACTTCTTCCATTTTCTAATAATTGCGCCAACAGTTGTTGCCTTCTCACCAAGCTACTTGCCTATTGTCCTGTAGCCCATCCCGGCCTTGTGCAGGTCTACAATTTAATCCCGGATGTCCTTACACAGCTTTCTGGTCTTGGCCATTGTGGAGAGGTTGGAGTCTGTTTGATTGAGTGTGTGGACAGGTGTCTTTTATACAGGTAATGAGTGGAGAACAGAAGGGCTTCTTAAAGAAGAACTAACAGGTCTGAAAGACCCGGAACTCTTAAGCTACACGGGGCAACTTTTTGAGCAATGTTGCTGGGTAATCTTGCTAGTGGCAAGTCCGATGATGTTTTGAACGGATAGTGGCGGGGCGGGGCGGCTGGCAGAGTGGTGGAGGAAGGGGATTACGGTAGTAATCTTTACTCATGACCATTGACGGCAATGTTGCCCTGCATGATTGTTCTAAAAGTTGCTGTGTGTATCATCAGCTTCACTGGTTGGTAGGTGATCAAATACTTATGTCATGCAATAAAATGCAAATTAATTATTTAAAAATCATACAATGTGATTATCTGGATTTTTGTTTTAGATTCCGTCTCTCACAGTTGAAGTGTACCTATGATAAAAATTATAGACCTCTACATGCTTTATAAGTAGGAAAACCTGCAAAATCAGCAGTGTATCAAATACTTGTTCTCCCCACTGTATTGCTCATGTTTGTGTCTCTCATAGCTGGATGAACCATACTTGTAGTGAACTCTTCAAAGTAGAGTGGGTTGTTTCTTCCATAGTCTTAGGAATACGGGTTTGCTGTTGATGTTCTGCTTCTGTTTAAAGGAGGAAAAAAATATATAATAAAAATATATAATGAGTGTAATGTCGTCCAGTTCTGTGCGAGATAAGAGGATTATATTTTGCCCTGCACCAGGTAAAAAACAAATGTGTGATTCAAAACAAGCTGGGGTTCACTTTATTCAGGTAACTGTTACAGATAGGATAAAAAACAAGGATGGATATGTTCATCTCAACAAACCATGAATGAATGAATATCCACCATCAGCCGTTATGCAGGAACTTATCAATTAAGTTTGACTAAAGGACAAAATGCACTTTCTTTAAACACATTGAGTCAGCCTACCTGTCATCTACTCCATACCAATTCAGATTTGACAATCACCACATACTCATGTTTTACAGTAGGTATTTCCGGTCACAGACACAAGGCAATATGATGGATAAAGAACAAAGAGTGTCACTGGATCAATACAGTATAAATCATAGATCAAAATTATAGACAAATCTGTACTTTTGTCGGATACAATGGTAGATATTTACTACTACTCACAATCCAGAAAACTTAACTTTACAATGCTGTTCTTCCATGCATTGTTAGGAGTAAAACTAGTGTTTGCTGATAAATATTTTTTGTGACAGCCAAATTTCAACCACATTTTTGTATTAATTAAAAAATAATGAGCCTTAAACATCAGGTTATCAACAAAGATAACAATCTCTTTTTTTCCCCCTCCACTTGGAAATATTTAGGTACTGGCTTCAAAATTACTCCGTACAGAATTAAAGGACAACTTAAAGATGACAACAGCAGAACTAAAGTGAAAAGTCAACAAAAACAGGACAATATTTCCAACATTTTAAAGGGGGTTTTATACTCAACATAAAACACTTATATACCAAACTAGAACACAATATTTCAAATAAAGATCATGACAACAGATCCAAGCTGCAAAACCAGCTATTAGCAAGGGCGAATTAAGCATACACTTAAAAATATCACTGTTCAGCTGCCGCACTTATTTACAGAAAGTTCATTTAGGGAAGTATTATTTTCCATAATGAAGGACTCCACCATGAACTCACACACAAGCCCAAAATAAATCCTAGTGATGGCAACCTGCTCGTTCTGAAACCTCACAGGAGAACATTACACATATTCAAAATGTAGGTCAATTTCCAGGGCAACTTTCATGACCTAGTTATAGTACAGTTTACAGATATGGAATTTCAAATATCCTTTACAGACAACACGCTGAACCAAGCAATTTGATTTGTTAAAAACGGTATCCATCTGCCAACATTTGGCTCATAAAAGGCATTATATAGGACCATAAACATATTATAAGCACAGAGCGAGTGTATGCTTATTGTCATCAGAGTGCCGATATGAGACAACAATGAAACAATTATCCAGTTGAGTTCTTTATGGGGTTTCTGTGAAGGTGACGCAAGGTTACTTTGATGTAATTTTCTGATGTATACACCTTATTATTATGTTGTAATAAATAAAATAAGCTGCTTTAATCATAGGCTGGTAATCTGTTTTTAGTAAATTAGAGTACATTGAAACACTGTTAGTGCCACATCGTAAATATACCCCCGGAGCTAGTTAACGATCGATTTGCCTTGTTTTTAACTTTTTTTATTAAATGTATATTATATTAAAGAAAAACATTATAGTTGGGGTATCTGTGTTGGTTTTATAGAGCTCATAATACTTAGAATGTTTTCTGTACTTCTCTTATGAACATTTTTGGTACACATGATTTTGGCTATAATCACTGTAATGAATACCCTCTCAGTATCACAGATGTTAATGGGCTTAAAATGAATTCACACTCCAAAATATGCCATCTGAAACAGATCCAGTCAATAGGTATGTGAAATGTGCAGGATCTGCAAGTTCATGATCCTAATATAAACTTAACTACGTCCGTACTGAAAGTATTAAAAAAAAGCAAAGACTGAAACTGCTCTTGTCCAGAAATGTCAGGTGTGTTCCTGGTAAAAATGTGATGAAACATTTCTTTTTCACTCAACAGATTAACTGGTAAAGATATGTAAGAGTAGCAAGGTTAAAACTGCACACATTCAGTGAATATACTGTATGGTTTCTAGATTGCATTCCTTTTTTGTTTTATCACAGCAGGAAACACAAAAGTAACCCTTGGTGTTGTTGGCCAAGCTTCTGCTGCAGGAGTTGACATGAGAAGAGTGAGTGACAAAATAAAAAACAGTTATCTTGACATATGCTGATGAATTTCCGTACAATATGTATAGAGCAATTATGCCAGATAAATTCATAGCACAATCTGTAAGCAAGCTAAAAATGCTTTGTAAAGCCAGACAGAACCAAAAATAACAAAATGTTTTCTAGAAAAAAATATATCGTCATTGTCCCCCTGTATTAACAACCCTTGTACATACTGCTGAAATTCACACAAATTGGGACTCTTGATTAATCTGTTTACAGTAGAGATATTTAAAGGCACATTCTGCAATATATTTCCTATTGCATTGTTGACTTAACAAGGACACACAGTGTCGTGGATGCGAAGCACCTGAAACCAGGCTCAGCCATCATCAAATTGCAAAGCTGCTGCAGCACCAGCAGTTTCATACCTGCAGTTCCAATGTAACATGCAAAAACTATATGTGAAGAAAGTAGATGTAGGCATGCTGATCTCACCTTCTCAGGCACGGAAAGGAATAGCTTCTGTAATTTGACAGTTACACTACCTGCATTTGCTTTGATGATTTATATTTTACATCGAAAAACATGTGTGTAGGATCTGAAAATGTTCCGAATGGCCTGAAAAGGCAAAAAAAGCAATGACTAACTTGACGGTCTGTCCGGCATTTGTTGCAGTTATAAAAATCTGCATGTGTAACATTTATTGCCTGAAAATGGTTCAAGTCTTAAAATTGCAGCAGCTATTTCTTTCCTGTAGGAAAGCAACATAGACATCTGAAGGTCCTAATTGGATGTGCTATTACCTTCCTCACCTATAGGAGGGGCAGATTGACATGTGATATGGACAGCTTCCCCTTCTGGAAACCGCAGTCTGCCAAACGTGGATGAGTGAGATTGTGAGTGAATTATGAACTAGCTCCAGGAGGTGCTTCGCATCTAAAAAAACAATGACACCTGAATTATTAATGGATTTACCCATTTTAAGTCCTTCTGTTCACTCCAAGTCATTGTAAGCAATGATGACATAATAAGGCCAAGTAGGAAATCTCGCTGACTGTGCCTTTAAATGTCTTGCAGGATGCAAAACATACAAATGCTTCAAGATACAAGGTTTGTTACTTCTTCTCAATCTTCAGAGTTTGTACAAAACTCCAAAGGTCCTTGACCACCTGAGGACGGTACAGAGAGGGGAGAGCGGGATAACAACAGAAGAAAAAGAGAGAAATTATAAATCATCCGAATGAAGTGCTATACAGCATGAGACATAAGACTCACATTTTAGTACAACATGCTTTTGTGCGTCAAGTCTGTGGGAACACTGAGTTTAGATGAGGCTGTTAGGGAACGACGAGGGGTTGGGTGGGGGCACCACTACATACCAGAGTATATGACTAGGTGCTCCAGGTCTGACAGATCTCAGCCTTGGCTGCTGAAACCAAAGCACTTCCACAGATGTTTCTACACACTGGGATCAACAAGCTCTCCCAGACCCAACTCCACCCCCACTCTTTCCTTGTCCAACCAGCCCTTGTGGCGGTCTAAAGAGCTTTCACCTGCTCTCATAACTGTACAGTTAACATTTTAACACTGCAATGCAATCACAAAAGAATGTTCAAATAGCCCTTTACAACTGATTGCCTCCTTACAGATGCTTTGCTACAGAAAATGCAGCTTTATTATTATCTGACACACTGCCTAGAATAATTTAAGCAGTGGTGATAATGTAAAGATTTTTATGTGATTAATTCATGCTTGGAAAAACAATGCGCAGGGGCTGTTGTTTCTCTTCTGAAATGACATGCAGCATTAGAAAAGATTTAAGTCCGGCATTTAGAAAAAAATGTTTTTGGGTTGGTCAAAGGCCTTGAATGTGAAAGAGACTGGTACCATCCACATACCACCAGTCCCTTCATTAAGGCTACAAAAGACACACACTCCAGTAAATCACTGCGAAAGAGTTTGGCTTGGCAGGTGTACTCCCATTTCATCTCGAAAGAGCCCACTGACACAAAATGAATATAATTCAAAAGAGAACACACTGTGCTGGAGAGACGTTTGAGGCATAATGGAGAGTGAAAGGTATTAGGACAGTGTGAGGAACAATAATGCATTCCTGGGTATCCATCATGGCCAAAAGCTCTTAAAGCTCAAATGAAGGTTGATGTAAATGTGCCCGTGACTACTTACACCCAGCGACTAGAATATTTCTAGAAACCAAACAAATCTCTCATAAGTGTTTATAAGACTAAATGCATAGATGCAAAAGCAAAAAAGTGACTGCAAATGATGTAAGAGTTAAAAATGTAACACTTGTTATAAGAACAATAAAATTCAAAGACCAACCTCAGATGATTCATAATTAGGGCTCTTAAACCCAAGGGCAATGGAAAAAAGTATACACAATATTTCAAATGACTCATGATTACTTACTTTTTTGTCTGAGATTTTAAAAGAACTCCTCACAAAATTCTCAAACTTCTGCTCCGTCTTCGGTAGTGGCTTACCCTGATGGAAAAAGCCATTAAATCATCAGCTTAACCATGCGTCAGACATTCAATTAAGAGCAGTAATTTGCAACAGAGGATGACAGCCTTACCTCCATGGCTGCCGTTGACAACTTGCTTTTAATCTCAGTCAGAGAGGGAGATTTAGACGGGCCAGCCTGGGGTTTGTCTTTTCCTGGGGCAGGTGTCTTGAAAAAATACATCAGTTAGATAAGAAACACTGATTGATGTCAAATAAAGACAGATTTATAGAGTTGTAGATAAAAAGATAACTTCATATTACACCATAATACTTTCTTCTTTTACTCAAGTTCAGGTCTTGCTATTGCCTTTTATTTGTCTGTGTTTTCATTTAATTTCAATTCTAACTTATTGCCGATTAATCTATTTGCTGACCAACTGGCCAGTCTGGGCCACAGCTCTATCATGACCCATTTTGTCTGGGCTTGTGTTTACAGGCTTGGCGTGGGGAACCAGCTGGAAGAGGATAAAAGCATCAGAAAGGACAACAGATTCTGGCCTAATTACACCATCTTTTCTTTTTTACAAATACATCAGGTATAAATTATGTTTTTATTGTTTGCAAGCAGGAGAGGGCAAGCCCTGACTCTCCATTAAACGAAAGAGGTTGTTTGTCAAAAGTGTTTTTCCCTTGATGGCAAATCCCAACGACTGAACTAAAGAACAAAAAGGTCAAAATGCATCTTGGCCTAATGTTCTTGTTTTTGTTCCCAAATAAAAATGATAGTGACATCAAATTAATGAGTTCCACAAGAAAAAAAACACACTTTTTTTGTTCAACGTTTATGAATGGTCTAGACTAAAAACAGTACTATCACAAGCAGCCCTTCTTTATCTGTTTTGGTGACATTATAGGTGGTATTTCAACACACAAAGAGTCTCCTGTGTTTGTTTAGATGCAAGCAGCATGAAGTTCGAATTGGTGGGCCCGCAGGTGTGTCCAGACCTGGGAAGTCGAGGCCCCAGAGGTCCTAAATTAGAAGTGTATGAATGTGACACAACAACACACACAACACACACACACACACACACACACACAAACACACACACACGCTGTGACTGCATATTACACAAGCCACAGAGCTTGTCACTACATGCAAAGTCAGTGTGGAATCCAGTGAAATTGCAGGGTTTCATTGATAGCCAGAGACACATTTGAAAGAAGAGCGAAGGCATGTATAAAGGAACTCTTTACCCTGCAAGTCAAAAAACAGCATGACCTCATGAGCAAATGGACAGTTGTCAAGTTATTTTCTGTTTGGTTGAAATGTGGTTTGGTTATAATTTCTCTGAATCAGATTTTAGCAATTCAATTTTTTTACTGTGTTTATTTTCAGCAGATTTAGGCTGAAAACTTTGATTGAAAATAGAAATGCTATACTTTTCCATGCACAAGCTGAATGTTTGCTTGTGTTGAATGTGCAGTTTAACCGCACAAACAGCAGCTCCAGTCTGCCACACTGTAGACATGTACATTATAGAGACCTGAGCTCTGTACGTGGTCTTGAGCCTAGGTAACTGTTGTGTAGGCAGTTAAAATGGTTGCATTCACGAATTCACAAGTGGAATCAAAATGCAGATTTCTTAACAATGTTCTACTACTTAAATATCTAAATACTAAATTCAGAGCTAGTTCTCCACACCCAAAGCTATGGTTAATCCTGCATAAAGAATTACGAGTCATCCGCCTCCTTTAAATTTCATCATGTCTCCAGCTCTCAACAAAACTCTGATGGGTGTCTTCAAGGTGAACACTATTTTCTTGCAAGCGTTGCACTCTGGATTTTTGTAACTAAATGCCATCCTCTAGAGTGACTACAAAGCCAGTGTGTGTTTGTTTACAGCAGTTAAATTTAATTTAAGGAAATAAAGACGTTTTAACATTTTTAATCTAGTTTTTTTTATTTTTATCGAATACCAAAGATCAAACCCAATATTTGTTCATTAAAATATCTACATCAGAGAACATGACTGCCACATACACTGATAAAAGCAAATAATTTCAATTAGGAAGTAAAATAAACAAAATAGGTTCTAAATAACTTAAAATACATTTTTTGAAATGCTTCAAAAACAGGAGGCGATCTACATTAGTGTAAATAATATGTTTCCAGAAGAATTAAATTGTTTTACAAGATATTCAGTACAACAGTATTTGAGGTCATGTTCTCAGTCTCAAACATAACCATGTCATGTGACATGCTTCAGTAAGAACAAATATTACTGGGACCAATACAGAGAATTGCACATTAAAATTTAATGACTGTATAATTATTAGCGCTCTTAAAATATGTTGCTTGTAAAAAGTGTTTGTTTATGCCAGTTAAAGGCACAGTACACATGCACACATGTCCACATGATCTGGATGGAACCACCTCCCCCTCATTTTGAGCCAGGAAAAACTCTGCAACCCTAATGGTAACATCGTTTGGATCAAAGCAATCAATAAATGTCATGTGTTACTACCTTTAGCAACTTCTGACTTTAAAAACCAGGGACTGGATAAGGGTGAAAACAGGGGGAATGAGCTTAAGAAAATAAAGTCTACAGTCCTTGTCCCCAAGAGATCTGCATTTTATAGCACAGATCAAAAGGTATAAAATGAAGAAATCTTTGACGCACACATACCACACTACAAAAAAAGAGCACATATGCTGCTGGCTCCTGGCCAGATAATGCACTACGTATTATTATTTATGGGCAGCTCTCTACTTCTAAAGGACAGCTGTGGACCTGAAACATCTGATAAACACACAAAGGCAGCAAGCTTTTTCATCTGAGCCAGACACTGATTACAGATGCCACAAGACATGGAACTTAATCACAAGCACGCCATTTGATGCAATCTCTAGTCTTCAATCCGGTGCAAACACATGGTTGTGACACCTTTGCTCATCAGGTCTGTCCTGGGATGGTAACTGTCATTTTGTTGGAATGAGAGCCTTGGAGGCCCTTGTCTGGGGAAAATGTCAGGTCACTGTGAACTGTGACTCCAGTCCTATGACTTGTATATGCAATACAAGCAAAGGGGTTGGTCTTTTGGACATTTTTCATGCACAACAGGTCCAATTGGAAGGGTCAAAGTTTGAAGCCAACATCCTTACACTCACGGGAAAAGTAAACGCTAACAAGATAGGCACCTGCTGTAACACATGACAATCAGTCGCTAAAACAATGACTCACACCCTTTTGGGATAAGCCTGAGTGGAGTGGTTAACAACTTTACGACTGCGAAGTGTGCTTGAAGGCATCAACTTCTCCAAAACCATCAATCAAAGGACACCAGCTGCAAGATAAAGTTACTTCAGATCAGTACAACTCGAGTTAGCTGGTTCTCATGTCGAGCCTGTTACACAAGAAGGTGCAGCCTCATGCTGGGCTGTGAGAGGTGAGAACTGCGATACTGGCAACAGATCTGACAAGCCAATCTAATGACCAGTCACCTGCATTTAGAAAAGAAAAAACAGACATCCACGCCCGCTTCCTCGCTCCTCAGGGGCATCTGGAAGCACAAGCTGCACCAGACATCAAACACTGGTAATGAGAGCAATTGGGAGAAGGTGTGTCCAGGAAGTGAGGGGTGTGAAAAGGTTGTAGAGAGGGAACAGTTGTTGTGCATAAGTAGAGAGGGGATGGGGGCAGTTGAAGCTCCACGAGCCAGAAAGTTAAACTGGCGGGATGGTTTCGGTGGTTCAGCTGCCCATCGGCTAATCCCCCAGAGCATTTCAAGAGCCACTGTGTTATGTCTGGACAACAGCCATTACAGAATTAGCTGTGCTCTCCCACACACCAAGAGAGCAGGCCCTGGGGGGAATCGCTTTCTCGCCTCAGGAATTAATCATGTGACTCAGTGTTATACATAGATAAAAAATTACACAGCTTCCTTTCATAAACATCAGACAAGAAATGACAATGCTCCTGTGCACTTGGTGTGTGAGATGGTGTGCCTTTAGCATCCTACAAGCAGCCAGCATTTGATGCCAACACATTCCAGGAATAATGCTTTGTGAAATTTGTAAACTTGCAAAGAAGCTTTCTAATTCGTCTTCCTGATGTGCATGTGTGTTACGGGAGGTTGGGAGGCATCAAAGGTGGCTGCAACACAAGACGGCGGGGTCAGGCCAAGGGGTCACAGGTTTAAACCTTGCCCCAGGAATCCCGTTTAGAGGTCAGGTGTGTTTGCTTAAAGAGAGGCAGAGTTCAAGCTTTGCGTTTTGAGAGGCGGCTGTCCAATGCATTCCATCCAAGAAATTAACTATCAGTTGAAGCTAATTGCAATGTGCATTTATCACATTCCTTGGCCGTGGAATGTGAAGGCTCTTCAAGGCTTTTTTTATTCTTTGCACGCTTTAAATGTAAATGTCAATAAACGCAGACAATTATCCTTGGTTATACACACCTTGTGTCTTCTCAGGTTCTGGTTTGAGCACAAATAACTTAACACAAAAAGATCAAGCTGTTTGAAGAGGGGGTTTTATGATTCTTTTTTAAGTACACGACATTGTGTAATGCATTTTGCTTGCAGGGCATTTCACGTTTTGACTTCAGACATACTATAATTCGTGTAAGATCCATGTCTGTTTGCAAAGAAGAAATATGTTTTAAATTTGTTGATCTCCACAGCTTAATTCTGTGGAGTTAATTTCTTTTTGCATATACAAGGTTTAAGGTATAAGGGGACACATTCCGTTATATAACACCATAACCATCTACCAAAGTTGTTTCTTAATGACACAGTCGATAATTGCATTGCTACACTACTTTAAAACACACTTCTCACAATTCTTCTGCATACTTTTAAGTGACATGATGTCTTTCTTGAGAAATAGAGCAGTTGGCTTTGACTACAGCCTGATGACATCCTGACCTTCTACAAAAATCTAGCTTTATTATTTCCAAACAAATTTTTGAATAACATTAACAAAGAAAAGAAACTGGCCTAAGATGAGGGGTAAGATGGGAATTATACAGTAAGGGATGCAATAGAGGTTCTCTCATTTTTTTCTGGATTTTAGATGAATGTGCATCCATTAGTTTGTTTAAATAAAAAATAAAAAAAACAAGTATGTCTTCATTGCACCTGTAAACTTGCGCTGCCCTTCCAATAAACAGTGCTGAAACTTAGTTGACCCTAATAGCTGACCCCTTTCAACAGTAAAATGTCTGTCAACCAAATAATTAAATAACCACTAGTAAACATGCTGAGCAGGTGACACAGCCTTTCCTACCTTAATCTGCGGTTTGACCGCTGATCCTGATGGTTTTCCTGCGGGGCCATTTTGTTTTACCGGAGTCTTGTCGGGCTTCTTTGGTGAAGACGCTGGGGTCTGAGAAAGCAGATAAACACAGACAAAATTCATTAATAAGACATCCCTAGTACAACATCTCACACTTTAGGAAACATGTGGGCTTTAACCAGGTCTATTTATCAGTCTGCTCTGCAGAAATGCTTATAAAACATGGAAAAAAGAGATCATATGAAAACAAACAGAACACTGCATTTGTAATAAAAGCTCAGAAAATGCATACTAAATTGATCATACTTCACAGTTGATCACAGTAAATAAAACCAAAAGAGAATGAGGCGACAGCAGGGGGTGCCATACTGAAGATATAAGCAGCTGAAAATGTTACCAACACCTCATGAAAAAGTACCTTACATGACCAACTTGGCAGTAACTGAATGATAACTGCTACAAAAGGTAGATTATTTTAGATTTCTGGCAAACCGTACTATACACTTCATATCTAAATAACTAGTAGTTGTGTCATGTTTTGAAAACTCCCATTTCAAAGCACAAATTGCCAAGCCTCTGTTATAGCTGACAAATTATAACTTGCATGTAACATAATGTAAACTGTATTCGTAAAACCTCTTGCAACGGTGGTTAATTTCCTCCAGTCTTTTGCCATGAAGCATTTTAACCCCAAAAGACAAAAATGTATACATTCTACAACAAAAAAAGGAAAATGCTTAGGAGTAGTGGAAGTCTTGATGTTATAAATTAATAGTCTATTCTTATTTAGTATCTCAGACTCAAGGTTTGTCTGCAGGCTGTTTACTGAAAGCATAACTGCAACCAAATCAGGGATGATATGTTACCAAAACTGAAATTATCTTCAAGCACTACAGAGGAAGCACTAGACATTCTTGGTAATTTGCCAGTGATCAGATACTTAGTACCCCAAAAACCTGTCATTGTTCTTCTCCACACTGGAAGCCTTCCCGTCAGGTTTCCATTGCTCTCAGTCACCTGTGTAATTACCTTGTAATAGCCAAGGCAAGTACCTGCATTTCCTGAACACCAACCCTTTCCTCACAATCACTGGTATTCACCTTGGGTTGGGCTAGAAGTGTAATTGCCTGTGTTGACATAACTGCTACAAGGCAATTACACATGTTATTTCCTAGAGCAATACCTAGTAATACACGGCGCTGTACCAGCGCGGCTGCAAAGCTTTTTTTCCAAATCAGAAGGACATTAATACACAAAGGACAGCACTCAATCAGGCTTCAGATCCTTCATAGATGTACCTGAGCGGTATACCATACTATTTATAGTTTTTGTACCCAGAATAACTTTTTACATAAGATGATATTGTTTCCTTGGGATTTTGTCTCTATCTTTTCTGTGTTACTACAATAGTCAATTTTTTAAAATCACTTGGCTACTACTACAAAGTGAAGAACACTACTAAGAGACTAAAGTGTAGGCTTTGTTTGTGAAAAGTTTTGAACATGACAAGAACACATTGTGTAGTTAATGTGATGTTTGGATGGAGACATTAAAACTGTTCAGATGTGGAAAGATTAGCTATACAGGTTAGACACCTGTTTCTGTTGTAGCGAAGAACTGCTTATTTTACTAATTTAGCAGATAACCACATTGACACAATCAGCAAATAAACTATGTTTCAATCAATCACTGACTCTCTTCACTTGGTGTCTTCATTGTGTTCTTTTTAGACTAGATTTACTTGTCATGGCAATGTTGTTAAAACTGCAATTCAAACATGAGTCAAATGTAGGCCACATGCATTAGGATCTTATTTTGTAATGCACATCCCATGTGGTCCAAATAGAGAATTGAAAAAGAATCCATAAACGTGTTTGCTCTTCCCACATGGCAGAAAAAAAAAATCATGTGACAAAAACACAGCTGAAAGTGTGCCTGTGTTGATTTTAAAAGCTCCGATTAGGGATTACCAGTCTCAGCACGTAATGAGCTTCAGTACCATGGAAAAGACAAGTATTTAATACTAAATAACGTTTAATTTAGACAATCAGCCATACTACAACTTTGACAGTGTAAAATTAAGTCTAAATTTTGCTGTGTTTCCCGATTTTCAGTTCAGATCAAATATACTTGATCAAAGAAGAAGTAAACTAGATTAAGAGGTAATGAGGTTTGATACAGAAAAAAAGGAAAAATGATTATATTGACCAAAAACAAATTGTTCCCAGCCCTACTATCTACAGTTTAGTGCTTTCATTATTGAATGAATGAGACAGGATAGCTATGGAGCTAAAGATAAGAAGGGTGAAGAAAAGGATTAAGGTCATGGAGGGGAGGGGTAGAGGGTGCAGGAGGTGGAGGAATTAGGAGGAGAAGACAACAGAATAAATCAACAGGTGACAGAAATGCTCAGCTGTCATCTAACCCTGAGGCAAGGATCGGCGCTCACGTCGCAGGTATGCGCATCTGCCCTTCTTTGATCTTTTGCCTGGTAGAGTTTTCACCGGGATTGCGTGTTTAAAAAGAAAAAAAGAAATCACAAACAGACACAGACGTAAAAATGAGGCAGATACACACATGCACCCACACACTTGCAAATGATTGTGGTAACACGCAAAACGAGTGTTCAAAGGCAAAGGCCAGGTGCAAAGCTGAAATGGCATGAGAGACGATAAAAAGGAGCAATCATATTAATAGTGGGATGACAGAGGGACAAAGATATGCAGTGTTACAGAAAAATGGGGAAAGATGTTTCCCATAACTGGTGTGTGTGTGTGTGTGTGTGTGTGTGTGTGTGTGTGTGTGTATGAAACTGTATGTTGTGTGTGCTTCTCTGCATATACTGTATATATGTACTGTTAATGTTTCCAGACTGCATTTTTGCAAGTATACTTATAATACACATACAAGTGTACAGTCTACAGTGTGTGTATATAATTTTGAGTGTGTGTGTGTGTATGTGTGTGTGTGCAGGATAACACAGTGCTGTCTTGTTAGTGAGACAGTGAGAATTCAAGCAGATTACAGAGGAGAAATCCAATCATTAAGCCACACAGACCCTGTGTTTTACTCGTGAAAAACAGGTGGGTACATGAGCGAACAGGATGAAAAAGCTCCATGTTTTGTCTCATACTAAAAGGTGGACGGTCAGTGAGTGCAGGAATGGGAAGAGCCTTCTAAAATAAAATGTTACTATAGGAGTAAGTCTGTGGGAGTTTAAATGATGTGGTAGGAACATAAGGGGAGTAGGCAGATGGCAGCAACACAGAGAAATTCTTTTACACAAAACCCTGACACCTGGTGGACAACAGGGGATTGGAAACAGTCTAAACACATTGTAGATGTTACCCTTTGGTGACCTACAGTGACAAGGACATTTACTTTGGTTTGAACAGTGATGGAAGTGATGCAACGGATGAGTCACAGTCCTTTATAAAAAGAATCAGTAGAAGATTTTTCACTTGACAATACTGAAGGTAAGAACAAACACTGCAGAGAGCTTATAAAACAACAACTAATCTTTTTGCAGTCTTTTTTTAGTAATTGTAACTAAAGGAAAGGAAAAGGAGCATCAGTTCAAGCTGATTTTATCACTACTAGCTTTCAAAACATGTGGTACCTATCAAATGTAAGCAATCATCCTCTTATACCATAACCATTTAATGTTAAAATTGCATGTTTTGTTTAACAAGATCAAAAACTTTATCTTGCAGCCTGCCTTAATATGATTATTTGGTGCCACTCAAGTTCAAATAACATTGATCTTTTGCCTAGATGAACCAAACCAAGTAAATATTCCATAGCTCAATAAATTGCTCCACAGAAGCTCTTGGTTGGGATGTTCTATTTTCATTCAGATTTAATGATTTGCTTCTAAGAAACTCAAGTATTCTGCCGCATGTTATAAAAGATAATGCATTGAGCGTTGGAATGAGATAAAAATATAATTAGAACGTGTATGTCAAGCTAAATTTAGAAATGTGGCCCCTGGAGAGGTGCACTTGAAAACGTCTTGTATACGTCTGCTCTACAGGATCCTGCAGCTACTGTTATTTTTATTTATTTATTTTTTCCCCCACAGGTACAATCAAGTGTTACCAGGCTTACTTTTTTTAACTCTTTTCCGACATTCTTCTGAGGCTTCACATCATTTTCATCGCTGTCGTCATCATCTTCATCATCACTAGAAAAGAATAAAGACAAAAAAACCTTAAGTGATGTGACAGACTTGTCTCTGACTTCATTTATTCCTTATATAAATTTGTGCATCCAACAAAAAAATGAAGGCAGGTAAATGTGGCATTTTTTTGAAGCATTCACAATCCCAACACAAAAAACATACTCATCATCATCCTCGTCGCTGTCGTCTTCATCGTCATCAGAATCCATCTTCAGTTTTTTCTACAGACGGAAGGAATCATTTCATCAAAAACAAGGATAAAAGTCTTTGGGATAAATTCCCTTTAAAAGGTGAAAGCAGCTCTGTAGCCAAATGAGTTCAAAGAACACACGGAGGTAGCTACCAATGGAGGCTTCTTCTCCGACATCAGGCTCGCAGGCCTCTTCACAGGTGACGTATTGTTCTCCTCTTCTTCATCCTCTGAATCCTTCACACCTACAAAGCAAACACTGGTTGCTGGTACTGTAGAGTGATGGATTCTGTTCAACTTAGATTTACCTGGACAGCCCTTGTATGGACATCATAGGAAATAGAGAGTGATAACATCAATGAATCAGTGAAATGCTACAATTCTAACAATGTGTCTCCTTATTAATCACTGTAGTGGTATTACATGCTAAAGCTATTTCTAAAATGACCATCACCATTTGCAATAAGTCAACTTCACTGTCAAGGAAGGTGGAACTAACTGGCTACTTTTGTGGAGTAAGCACATCAATAATGTGGTGAGTTGTAACCCGAGTCATATTTATTATGTGTATGTCTGCAATTCTAGATGAAAAAAGGTTACAGCAGCCCCAGCAACTGTTGCTTCAATACTTACTAACAAAATGCTGCCCGCTGATGTGAACTGGTCCGGAGCCAGACTGGAGACGGAAGGTAATTGGAGGTGTGATTTCAAATCCACCTAAACTTATCTGGACAAGATAATAATTATAACAACAAAATAAAACAATGTAATAATTGCAATAATAGGATGGAGAATTTGTATTTAAGTTCTTCACTTCTGATCCATGGTATGAATGAGTTTTCCTTTTTAGTTTTAGTTTTTTATTAAACATGAGAAGGGCTGAAAGTTATACATAGATTATACATATTGCCTAATAAGGAGATCTTTGTTTATATACCATTTCGTAGACCCTATAATACTTTACAAAATGCTGTCGGGTAGGGCATTCACTCACAGAGGGCAGGACAGACGGTTTCAGGACAACCAGCGGCACTTTGGTCGTTTTTCCATCATAAGTTAGGCCCTCGACTTCCACCATGTGGAACTTATCCTCAGCCTCGGCTCCAAGACACACCTGGAAAAGCAGCACAGCTAACTCTACACAACACCATCTCCACTGCATCATCAGGCAAATGTTGCTCCTGACACCCTTTGTCTTGCCTGAAGCACCACGAAAATCTAAGTTTCACTATATGGGTTGAAATTTCTGAAATACCTGGTGGTGATGGCCAGTTAAATACTCCAGTTCCAGTTTGACTGATTAATACGGATATCATTAAAAGTGTTGAAACAATTTGTTGATTAATTATTTGGACAATATATTTCTAGCTGCATAAGCCATTTCCCCAAAAGAAGGCACCAAAAAACGTTGGGGTACAGCTGGTAAAATAAGAGCACAGACTTTATTGGTCAGGCTCATATGTTACATTGACAAGTTTCTTGCTTTGTTTTTTTAAGTAAGGGAAACACATTTAATACATCCATTTGGTCTCTGGTAATTGATAGTAAACTTATAATAACAATCTAACTATTTTGATCAAAAGAGGTCACTTAGAAATCAACAACATAGGCATATGTAACCACTGTCACCTGTGCATCAAAATGAAGACACAATAACTCTATATGTGTCCAAAGTAATAAAATAGCAAAGATTTGAAAATCTTTATTTAAGCTTAATTACCCTGTCTAGTAATGAAAAACGTTATTTTCTATCAAGAATACCAGCTGCCACAAGGCAAGACAGACAGATGCAAAATAACCAGTCAACACACATCGGTCTTTAATGAAAGTATATGAATACATATGAATAATGTATAAAACATGTGTACTGTATGGAATTAATATTGATTTTGACCTTTAAACTGTATTTTTAAAACCAGCATAACACATGAACACAGGGTAACGTGCACTGCATGTTTAATGAATTTACTTAATGTACACTGTAGAAGGTTTTTCACTTATATGTAACAGTTATTTGCCATTTAATGATGGCACGATTTATCCACCATGTTTCTATTACAAAATATGCTCTGGCAACACTGATTTTATAACGTTAAAGCAAATAGGAATGGACAGAGACAGATGTAAGTTTATCTGCACTCCGTGCAAACAAACTGCAACTTACTTTATTTAACTCTTAAGATATTTCCCTTTATAACGACCCTTACAGCCGTATTGTTCTGCAGAACAGTTACTATGCATGCAATGGAAGGAGTCTTCCTTACTGCTTTGAGTGACAGCTGTTGCTCCGTATCATCGTCGTCTACTTCAACTTTGAACTCCCTTTTGTCCGACTTGAGGGTGCAACCTAGGGAACGACGTGTAAGTTAAGTAACCTTATGTTTGCACTCATCTTGATCAACATACACAAATGCATTGCACTGTCTGAGGTGCGAGGGTTTAGTCTTTGCTTGTAGCTATGTATCTCGCTGCCTTGCTCGACCTAGCTAACAAAAGAGCTGAATTGGCGCGAGTCGGTGCAGGCAGGTTAGCCAGCTATTAAGTTCATCCAGCTAAAATCGTAAATGGCTATTTGTGCATGATAACATGGCAGTAAAACTGATTGTGCAACCGAAAAATATTAGGTTTGTCAGAATAAGCGAGCTCACCAAACAAGTACATTTGTGGTCTGCTCAAATCCGAGATGTCGTCCTCCATTTTTGTAGTGGCTGGTTACGCTTCCGTAAACTGGTGTGACGTACACATCACCAAGCCAGTGGGGGATCAGAACATGACTGACGTTTTAAAACACTTGAGCCAATAGAATTGGAGACTGGGCGGGACAAATGAAACTACTCGTTCTTATAACAGATGAACACTAGATGGAGGTGTCGTTAAATATATTGAGGGAGTCCCCTACTGTAAACAAAAAATATAAAAAAACATAAAAACGAATATAAAGCAAAGTGTAAAGCAATATAAAAGTTTGAGGTTATACATCATATTTCAACAGAGGCGTTTTATTATAAATAGGCCTGATAATCATCTTTATTTTATATAGCACTTATTAAAACAAAGTTACAAAGTGCTTCACTTAGCAAGCAAAGAACACATTAAACATAACATAGTAACACAGAAAAAACACCAAACGAACCACATGAAAAAAAGATAATGAAATGAACCCAAGAACAGAATAAAAACCTAGAATCAGATGAAATCAAGGATGAATCTGCAAATTATAGGCTACTTAAATTTAAAAGAAGCCACTGACTCAGCCTGCCATATTTCCTCAGGCAAGGTGTTCCAGACCCTCTCAGACAACAAGATAGCAGCAGAGAAGGCAAATAACTTCACATGTTTGATTATCAGTATATAATGAGATATAAGGTGTTCTTTGCATGGCTACCTCTTTCCTGATTATCTGCAAGGTCTTTGTACAATTGATTGTATCTTCCTAATTCATAAAGGCTTCATTAAATTATTACAGCTTTTATATTAAGATTGGGATATTCTCCCTTATGTCCATCGCTTAATGTGCTGTTTGGACTAAATAAAAGAGGCCTTTGGCCAGTGATATTAAAAGTCCAGCCCAGGGGGCAATTGCAGCCTTTGAAGAGTCTTCTGTGGTTGTTAAAAATATTGATAATAAAATGAGAGTCATTGCAGTCTCAGACATTACAAACAAAATAAATAAACATTATTATTACACAACAGTATTAAACTTTCCAACCTGTCCACACAATAATTTAATAAAAGGCACAGTCAATGGTTTAATTTAAGGAAATGGCTAAAGCCAATTTTAAGTCTATAAATACATTCCTCTTTTTGCTTTGTTGATTTAAATTAACAATATATTCTCTTTTTTTGAGTTGAGTATAATATAAATGAGAGGATTAATTCTCTCTCTCTCTCTCTCTCTCTCTCTCTCTCTCTCTCTCTCTCTCTATATATATATATATATATATATATAGATAGATAGATAGATAGATAGATATATATATATATAGATAGATAGATAGATAGATAGATAGATAGATAGATAGATAGATAGATAGATATAGATATAAATATGGCTGAAAAGACAAGGGATGTTAAAAGATTCTACAGCCTATCAGTTGTACCATTCCTTTATTGTAAGTACTATTATTTTATGTCTTTCTAAGCCTCAGAGTGAAACCTCAGAGTCTGTCAGTAGCTGGCTGGCATTGAGCAGGTGTTGAGTCACTGATCCGCAGTACCAGTATCACTCAAAAGGAATGAGTCGTCTTCATGCATGCCTGAAGGCTTGAGAAGGCTTTAATGTGTCACAGACTGCCAAGACACGTCTGCAAATTTGTTCTCATGGCTGATATGTGCTACTCAACACATTTGCGCTGCACTACAGATTCCTGAAGGTGCAGGGATATAAGAAGTAGCTTTTTTAAAATTATTATTATTATTATTTAATACAAAATTAATGCTTAACCCACTGTCAACATCAGAGCTTGCTTTTTGTACATTTATAGGTGAGTGAGTATGCATTTGTGTGTAAATATGTGTAGCTGAAAGAGAGAGAAAGAGAGAGAGGAAGGATCATGAAAGTGTGTCACGTCAGCAGGTTGAGTTAGCTCCGAAATCTCAGTCAAACTTTCAGACTGCAGAAAGAGTTTTTCTTTCTTCACCTGACTCAGCTGGAGTTGACTTGACATGCTGCTGGACTTTCCTGCTACAGCAGCCAACTGTTATTAAATAATCAATCCTAAATATGATAACTTACTAAACTAAAAAAAGCACTTTCAACCATGGTCCCTTCCACGTCTCTGTCATACAGAATCAACGTAGTTACATAAGAACATTTAGCTAAATGTCCTCTATGAATTGAAATTGTCTTTTCTTGTCTCTCTAAATTTAATTTAAATTTATGGCATTAAAAACATTTCAGACTAACTGTAGTCACCCAGATTTGTTTGTTAGTGCTCTCAAAATTCAAAAACAAAAACGTTAATCTGTATAGTCAAACCAGTTACCATCACTGAAGACAGGCTCCACTCAGGAGGTTTACCTCATTTGAAATATAAGAAGCCACAAGACATAATGAAGAGCAACATTTGTTTCCTGAGCAATAATACATTTGCACACAAAATAACAAATAATATGGGATTGTTCCTTACATCTCCAGAGCATTGCGGTTCTGAGCCATTACAAATGAATAGGTTCAAAAATAAATGGCTCTGGGAAAATCACTTGTGAAATACCCATGATGTAAAACTTTTTCTTTTTGAATGCAAAGCTGATTCCATCAGAGTTGAAACTAGGGATTAAATGTCTTTTTCACATGGAGCAAAACTAGATTTTTATTTGTTCATTTCATTTCAACTGCATTTAAAAACCTGTTTATGAAAATGTATTGCAAGAATACTTTATACTTGACCAAACATCGAGCGGAAACTGTAGAGAGCATTGCACCATAATGTAGGCCTGTTACATTTATTCATTTAGCTGACGCTTTTATCCAAAGCGACCTACAATTGCTATTTATGTCAGAGGTTGCACGCCTCTGGAGCAACTAGGGGTTAAGGATCTTGCTCAGGGACACATTGGTGGATGGCTCACAGTGGGAATTGAACCCTTGTCTCCCACATCGAAGGCGAGCATCTCATCTATGCGCCATCACCACCCCTGTTATTGTAGAATTATAGATTTGGAGTTAACACTACACTAAGTGTTGTCCCTCTGCAATAGATTTCCTCTGTAATGTGCAACCGTTAAGTTTTCAAAGTAAATCAAGCTAAGGGGCCGTGGCTGTATTTTGAAGTCAAGAACCATAAAAGTCTTTTGTCAACACATTAGCAGCAATCTAGTTTGGCAGTCTGAGGCAGCCATTGCTTTCCTACAAAATCTTGTGGCTACAGCAGCTGTCATGGCCTGAAAATGGTTGTTTGGAATGCAGACTGATATTATTACATCTGGGATCAAGTAAAAGAAATAAAAAACAATATCACGCTTAGGCTCCTACAAGTCAAGTTATTGGTCAACATGGTAAATAAACCATACTCACCAGTATTACTCTTTATTTCAACAATCCTATTCTAATTCTCAGTGTTGTAAAAAGTCACAAATGTGTCTCTTAAACAGATACAGCATTCAATACTGGTTTGCTTAAGGATCTGAAATCTTAACGCTATTTTGTTCCATTTATGCATGAGCACAGACCTTTTCTTCTTGTTTGACGATCTTTCCTAGTCTCAGTGAACTATTTCAAGACTAAATTGTCATCTATAAACTGAATATATGTGTAAAAAATTTTACCTAATAGCTGAGTATAAGTATTGAATGGTCTGAATAAACTGTATAATGTTGCACTGTATTAGTGACCATTTAATATAAAATATGACATTTGCTGGTCTGTCAGAATATCTATCAGCCTCTCTTTAGGAATCAAACTCGAAACCTGGCAGTGATCAACTAACTGGATCACTGAAGCTACATCAGTAGACGGAAAATGACTCAGTGTTTACTGTGTTTCTCAAGAATGGAAACAACTGATCGGAGCAGACAGAGTGTTACACAGAGCACAACACAGTATGCGGTGAATAGTTTTTTGGTGCCCCTGTTCAAAACAGGGTGCTTGATAGGAAGCCCGATATACCCTGAGCCTCTTGCTCTTGTTCATCTTGTGTGGTGACATTTTATTGGATAAGGACAGGGCTCTTTGGCGGTGAGAGAGAGGGGGTTGAGTGAGGAAAAAAAACCCCACAGAGCCATGACAAGAGAGGAGAAAAATCTTTAAGCACCTGTAGTAAAACACAATGCACGGTTTTGAAAACAGTAAAGAGAGGAATTTTTCCAGAATGGGCCAAGTCACGTCTTCAAGACAACCGAGACAGAGAGATGAAAGCACCAGGGAGCGGAGGAAATGGGGGTTGAGGAGGCGTCACCTGGAGAACTGCTTGCTATTGACAGGATCCCAACCAGGCAAGACGCCCTAAAAACTGACTAAACATAGGCGCTATGTTTTGGAGAAAGGAGAGGGTTGTTGGGGGTGGCTGCAGTTGCAGACAGCTGTTTCGAACCAGATCATCAACCTGCTCTGAGCAACAACTTGGCTCGGGCAGCCAGATGCTGTTGATATTCCAACAAAAGGTACAGGATGTGGAGTTTGCAAAACTTAAGTATGTCATGATGGCTTGTGAGATGTGTTTGTGAAGGGGACGCTTGCCTAGGGATACAAATGTGCTAGGTCCAGCCCTGGCAAGGTCCAGTTCCTGTGACGCTCATGATTATGAAGGCTCATTTACGAGCAAGGAACCTGAATGATGTGTTTACTGTGCTTCTAGATAGGCAGTTCTTGTTATGACTTATGGTTGATAAGCACTTGCATGATAGGGTAGATGTGGTGATTACAGATGTTTATGGCTGTCTGGTGTCTATGTGATCATGATTCACCTAGACAACAATGGAGGCCAACACCAAAAATGGTGTGGGAGGTAACATCCAAAAAAAGGAATGAAAAAAGATTATACTGGCCTCATTTAGAATTATAGCCCATGTGTACACTTTTTCCCCAGCATCTATGCACATTTTTTTAAACTCACTTTTCTTAGATCAAAAGAAACTCCTGTCTCAACTAAAAAACATTAATCTGAAGAAAGATATAGGTATGATGATAAAGTTTGTCAGTTGACAGGTGTCTGATGGATCGTTTGAAGGCAGAGCTTTCCATTCCTCCTGATTGACTGGAAGCGGAGCGTAAAGCAATGCAGCAGCGATACAAAAACAGAGGGACTTACCAAATCATTA